TTTATATTTATTTATTTATTTATTTATTTATTTATTTATTTATTTATTATGGATACAATATTCTGTTGGTGTGTATGCCTGAAGGCCAGAAGAGGGCACCAGACCTCATTACAGATGATTGTGAGCCACCATGTGGTTGCTGGGAATTGAACTCAGGACCTTTGGAAGAACAGGCAATGCTCTTAACCGCTGAGCCATCTCTCCAGCCCCCAAAAAGACTATTTCTTGAGATAAAGAATTATACTAGCAAGTGGCCTTGGACTCAGTACAAAAACCTTTAATGGGTCTCCAGCTTGCCCTGGAGTTTGGAGAGCTGAAACCCCCTCACCTTCCAGTTCCCTTCCTCACACCCTATTGGTTCTGTTCTGCTGGGAGCCCTGACTACTACAGTCCCTGGACACCCAAGCTGGGGCATTAGTGGGAATTAAGAGGATCACAGGAGGGACATCTTAAGGCCCCTGAAGTCATGCCCCTCCGGGCAGTCATTTCTACCAACTCATTCCTAAGACTGCTGCCAAGGAGGAAAACCTTGGATTTACTGAGGACAGGAGGGGCTGGCCCTTCCCAGGCACTAAGACACACCCGGGGTGACTCATCCCCACCTCTCTGAGCTTTGTCCTCTTTCTGGAAACCAGGGAAGCCAAGCAGGTCATAGACCGAGAACACAGCCCATCAGCCCACAGTCCACCCACAGCAGGTGCCACATTTTCCTCTGAAGTTCAGGCAGCTGGAGACTGCTCTAAATATACACCCAGGCCGACCTGACCGGCCAGTCTGTTTTGTTTCGTGAGATAAAGTCAATTTGCAAGCTAAATATGGTGGTGCATGCCTGTCATCCCAACACCCGGGTGGTTGTTACAAAAGGATTATAGTGTGTTTATGGCCAGCCTGAGCTACATTAGATCCCATCTCAAAAAAAAAAAAGTGGGGAGGGGAGGTGGTGCATACCTTTAATCCCAGCACTCAGTAGGCAGAGGCAGGTGAATCTCTGTGAGTTCGAGGCCAGCCTAGTTTACAGAGCTACACAGAGGAACCCTGTTTGAGGAGGTGCGGGGGGGGGGGGGGGGGGGGGGTAATTTGCATGCCCAAAGTTCCCTGGTATCTAAAGACCCTAGCAGCTAAAATGAAATGCCGTTAGTGAAATCAGCCAATGTCAAGCATTAAATTTCCATCATGGATGAAACCAGCGCCTGGGTTGGCAATGACTGAGCAGTTCGGCTCTGGGAGCAGTGAGGGGACAGAGGCCGTGCGTGCTGCCCTCGTCCCTCTATGCCCTCTTCCCGCATGCTTTCTCCTCTAAGGTCGGCTTTGTCCCCACTCTGTCTGCAGCTTCCGGTCTGACCGGGTGTGAGGGCCCCTTGCGCGGCGGTGTTTACCTCGGCCAGGCTGACGGAGATGATGAAGAGTGGCGGCGGGAGGCAGTTGGCTCGCTCCAGGTATGTTCTTCGGACTGGCTCTGGAAGCATCCACTTCGAGACAATCCTGTGGACCTTTCTGCTCCTGGGGAAGTCTTTGCCTTCGCCGTCCTCCCTCAGCTTCTCCTCCTCCAGCTCTTCCTTCCCCGCGCTCTCGGTATTCAGATTCACAGTCTCCATCTCTACATCGTCAGCAGCAGCCATCGGCCTGGTCCTCCCTCCACCTGGAGCAGACATGAATGTAGGGGGAAACGAGATGAGGCTCTTTCCTGGGCTCTTTGGGAAACTATTTGTCTTCCTGGTCCTTCCTGCGCATGGAGCTAGGAGGCAGCTAAAGACCATCCAAGTGGTCCAAACCTAAGTGGTCACAAATGGTGTTTTTACCATACTGTTCTGTTTTGTAAATGTTTTTAAACATGGGGCAGGTAAGACACTGTTGTGTGTGTGTGTGTGTGTGTGTGTGTGTGTGTGTGTGTGTGTGTGTGTGTAACAACCTAGTAGGTAAAGGCACTGCTACCAAACCTGGCAGCCTGAGTTTGATCCCTGGGATCCACACTGTGCTGTAAAGAACAGAACCAAATCCTGCAGTTTGCCCTCTGACTTCCACATGCTCACTGTGGTCCACACCCACACAGTAAACAAAAGGAATTTTTAAAACAGGGAGTCTGATGCTCATAGACCTTAGGCATGTAGTAAACTCTGTGTGCTCTTCTCTTTATAAAAGCAAAATAACAATAAAAAGCCATGGGCCTGTGAGGAAACTCAGTGGGGAAAGGGATCTGCTGCCAAGCTGGATGACGTGTGCGACCCCGCGGACCCCTACAGGAAGGAGAGAACTGAGTCCTGAAAGCCATCTTCTGACTACCACACAACACACAGAAAATAATTCTCACGTGTAATTTACAATACACAGCTTGAGAAGCAGAAGCAAGAGGGTAAGAACACCCTTAGCAATATAGTGAGTTCAGAGCAAGCGCAGGTTGAAGGGAAGTAGTGGCGCACACCTTTAATCCCAGCACTTGGGAGGAAGAGGCAGGCAGATCTCTGTGAGTTTGAGGCCAACCTGGTCAGCAGAGAGAGTTCCAGCACAGCCAGGGCTGCACAAGAAAACCCTGTCTCGAAAAACAAACACCAAAAAGTAAGTCTGGGCTACAAGACTTCTTATCTAAACAAATAAATAATAAAGTAGATAAAAAATTGAATACGTTCTTTTAAATAAAAAAGCATACCCACGGATCCAGACAGTTTGGGGGACTAAGGATGTCCCTCAGTTGGTGGAGTACTTGTGTGTAGCATGTGCAAGGCTCTGGTTTGATCCCCAGCACCACATAAACTAGGTGTGGTTGCTCTGTCAGCACTTGGAGGGTAGCAGTCAGAGGATCAGAAGTTCAAAGCCTTCCTCTGCTGTGTAGCCAATCGGCTGTTACCCTGAGATACACGAGACCGATCTTAAAACTACAGTCCTAGCTGAGTGTGGCAACATGGCCCGTAGTTCTGTAGTTCCAGCACTTGGCAGGCTGAGGTAGGAAGAGCACCTGATCCCAGGGGTGTGACCACAGCCAGCTTGGGCAACACAGCCAGACTCCATCTCAACAAAAGAAACGCTGAACTCGTCCACATACCGACTGTAAGGGTACCTCAAGAAAGTCATATACAGGGGCTGGAGATATGACTCAGAGATTAAGAGCACTGACTCTTCTTCCAGAGGTTCTGAGTTCAATTCCCAGCAACCACATGATGGCTCACAGCCATCTGTAATGAGATCTGGTGCCCTTTTCTGGCCTGCAGGGACACATGCAAGTAGAATGCTGTATACATAATTAATAAATAAATCTTTAAAAAAAAAAGAAAAGAAAAGAAAGAAAGTCATATACATTGAACCCCAAATTACTTTTTTTAAACTACGGTAAACACTAGGAACCTTGGGCTGGTAGGATGGCTCAGCGTTGAGCCCGAGAACCAAGAGTAGAGGAGAGACTGACCCCACTCCACCCACAAAATAAATGAATGTTTTAAAAAATGGTTTTAGTGACATGGAACTATTTTAACCATTTAAACAGTCTGGTGATATTGAGTGCACTTACAAAGTTGTGTAATCATTATCACCATCTGGTTCCAAAAAGTTTTCCTCGCCCTCCACAGAAGGCTCACCCGCGCATTGAGCAGTCTCTGCCCTCTTGGGGTCTCTCCCTTTTCTCCCGTAGCCTCTAATCTGCTCCTGGGACCTGGCAGTGTCTAGAAAGCTCAGGAAATGTGTCCTGTGTTTTCTTTCTGGCTTCTCTCACAGTGTTTTCAAGAGTTATCTATGTTGTAGCATGAACTACAGTTCTTTCCCTTTTTTCTTTTTTTTTTTATTCTCTTTTTAATGTGTAGCCCAAGCTGGCTCGAACTCATGATCCTCCTGCCTCTGCCTCCTTCTGCAAGTCCTACCTGCATGGGCCACCACAACCAGCTACAGTTCTTATGTGGATGAATATATTGTAGTGTACAGGTGGTACCTCACAGCTTGGGTATCCACACATCTGTTGATAGCTAATAAGTTGTTTTCACCTGTACCTATTGTGGCCAAGCTTCCAGGATGAGCTGTTGTTTGTGCGCCTGTCTTTAGTTATTTGATGCATATAACCTCCATCCTTAGTCATGGAAATACTAGGTGCCCCTCAGATTTCCAGTCTGAAGTAGAGATCATGGCAGCAACTGGGAGCATGATTTTAGCTAACATATAAGTGACAGTTGGGCAATATCTGGCACACAGGAAACATTTCATAATCATTCATTATTATTGGTAATGGATGAGTGAGTATGTAGGTGTGTGGATGGAAGGATGGATAGATGGATGGGTGGGAGGGTGGATGATGGATGGATGCATGCATGCATGGATGGGAGGGTGGATGGATGGGTGGGTGGTGGGTGGGTGGGTGGATGGATGGATGGGTGGGTGGGAGGGTGGATGGATGGGTGGGTGGTGGGTGGGTGGGAGGGTGGATGGATGGGTGGGTGGTGGGTGGGTGGGAGGGTGGATGGATGGGTGGGTGGTGGGTGGATGGGTGGTGGGTGGGTGGGTGGGTGGGTGGGAAGGTGGATGATGGATGGATGCATGCATGCATTGATGCATGAATGGGAGGGTGGATGGATGGGTGGGTGGGTGGATGGATGGATGGATGGGAGGATGGATGGATGGACGGGAGGGTGGATGGATGGGTGGGTGGTGGGTGGGTGGGTGGATGGTTGGGTGGGTGGGAGGGTGGATGGATGGATGGATGGGTGAATGGATGGATGGGCGGATGGATGGATGATGGATGGATGGGTGGATGAATGGGTAGATGGATGGGTGGGTGGAAAGGTTGAATGAGTCTGTTTTCACAAGCAACTTATTGGGAATCAAATCAAACCCAACTTATTTCCAGATGAATCGCCTCAGGCCTGACTCCATGGTACAATGTGTTATTCTCAGTGAGTTCAGGAAGGAGCAAAACCTTTCATTTTTCTTTTGGACGGCAACTTTTCCGACAATAGAGTCTGTTTCCCACCCCGGCACCTTCTGCCTTCTCACCCGCACGTGACCCAGGGCCGGACATTAGATTCCTATACGTAGTCGCTGAGACCAGCAGCTTCCACTCATAAACATGAAAGCGTTCAAATAAGGTCAGGGCTGGGAACGTAGCTCGTCAAGGGCTCACCCACATAAACATGTTGTGGGGTGGATCCCCAGCGCTGCAAACAAACAAGTAAGTTTAATTAGGAATTATTACCCTCCTAGGAAGCAGCACCATTATAAGCTTAATTACCATATATGATCATCATATGAGGGAATAAAATTCCACATTGTTGACAATGCGACTTTACATTTATAAAAGGAACCAGAAAAATAAGGATGACTTGTGTTCTGCTTAGATTTTCTGTCATCTTGACACGAGCTAGAGGGGAAGGGGGACTTCAAATGAGAAAATGCTGACATCAGGTTAGACTACGGGCAAACCTGGGGCATTATTTTTATTGATGATTGACATGGGTAAGCCTCCCCCCCCCCACTACTGCTCCTAGGCAGGAGGTCCTGAGTGAATTAAAAAAGCCAGCCTAAACTGGGTGGTAGTTTTGCATTCCTTTAATCCCAGTCCCTGGGAGGCAGGGGTAGGTGGGTCTCTGTGAGTTCGAGGTTAGCCTGGTCTACAAGAGCTAGTTCCAGTACAAGCTCCAAAGCTACAGAGAAAACCTGTCTTGAAAAACCAATTGAAAGAAAAAAGAAAAAAAAAAAAGACAAAGTATCATATAGCCCAGGATCTCTTGTTGCCATTAACTTGCTATATAGCCAAAGTTGGTCTTGAACTCCTGATCCTCTTGCCTCTGCCTCCCAGGTGCAGGGATTACAGGTGTGTGTCACCGCAGCTGGCTGGAAGCACCCTTTAGATAAACAACAAGACATTTTCAGAGGCCTAAGGAAAGGCAACACGGCCTCAAGGCAAAGCAGGTGAAAATAATCCCAGCCTCGATAGCCTCTCTGAGATACGAAAGCACCCACAGCTACCCAGCTGCCTGTTCGCTCACTTCATTACCTTGTCACTCGAGTGGGTATTTACTCCTCTGACGGCTCCGTGACTCGTTAAGCAAAGACCATGAGGGCTCCTGGCATTTTCTCTCATGTCAGCAAGATAACACCTTCTAATGTGCTGCCAGTTTTTGCTGCCTACTCTTTGTTGAAATGGAAAAGAGGTTCTTCTTTTGTTTTCACAGAAGATGAGAACCTGTGGACTGCTCCTAGACCACTAGGGGATGATAGACCACGCCCCCCTGAAAGGTTGCCATGAACACCCTCAAAAAATTACTCCACCCAACTGCTGACTGAGACGAACCTAGCAGACAGGATACATCATGAAAGGCCTGATTAACAACGCCCCCAGTCAGCAGGAAGCAGTATAGACAGAACTGTGCCCATATTCCCAAATATTGTCTATAAATGTTTATTTACATTTAAAGGGGGATATGATATAGGTATGAATAGTTTGCATTGGTATGGATCTTGGTTTATTAATACAAATTTAAGGTCAATCTTGTTATATGTATATTTCTGCTCTTGATTAAGGTATTGTGATTATATAGTTCATTTAAAAATGTAATATATAATTAAAAATATAGGTTAATAGATAATCTATAATAGTCATGCTTGTAGTCATGTTAGTTAGATTTTTCAGATGTATAGAGATATATTTAAGTTAGATATGTATTCTTCAAATCTTTCAGAGACCTTCAGAATATGGCATTTAAATGTTTTAATAACTTAGGACTTTTCATGACAATGAAACGCATCTTTTTCTGGCAGCACCAGCTACTTCAAGAGGAAGATGGACATCGAAGGGGCTCCTTATGGAGCTTGTAAGCTATTTGGGCAAGACACTGCTCTTGCCTGGACTGCTTCACTGGACATGCGGTACCCACAGAGAGAGGACTGCTAAACTTGTCTAAAGGTGAGATGGTCCTTCGGGGTTCCTGCTTTAACAAAGAGTCTGCAAGACATTCTGCAGGACACAGAAGAACGTGGCTGAACTGTCTTTGAAGTTTCCTGCTTCATGGAAAAGTCTGCTGGATACTATGGGCCTGTAGGCTGAAGATGGATATCCCAATGGTACAGAAGAACTTTGGGTGACCTGTCCAGGCAGCAAGATGTCTCTGTCAATTCTAGAATTTTGGAAGTTGCTTACAATACACTTCCTGTTTTACTTAGGTAATATTATATCTTTCTGGAGTCTTTGATAGAGTTGAAGAATTTATAGATATAGTTTTCCTTAGTTATGATAAAAGATAAAGTAGATATAAATATTGTAAATGTAGTTTTTGCTCGATACCTGTTTTGTTATGTAATTTTACTAAGTTAAAGTTAAAGCCTTCCTTTTTGTTTAAACAGAAAAGGGGAAATGGTGTAGGAGTTCCTTCTGTTTATGTGTTGTTTTCATTGGTTAATGAATAAAGAAACTGTCTTGGCCTTTTGATAGGGCAGAACTCAGGTAAGTGGGAAAAACAGAACTGAATGCTGGGAGGAAGAAGGCAGAGTCGGAGAGAGACACCATGGATCCACCAGAGACACATGCTGAGAATTTTAGCTGGTAAGCCACTGCCATGTAGCAATAAATAGATTAATAGAAATGGGCTAAATCAAGGTGTAAGAGTTAGCCAATAAGATGTTAGCCAAGCAGTAATTTAATGAGCACAGTTTCTGTGTGGTTATTTCGAGGCTAAGCTAGCTGGGTGGCCGGGATGAACAAGCGGCCCTCTCCCTTGCAAAAACTAATTAATTAATGAGAGATAGAGGCAGAAAGAAAAAGGAAACCTCAGTCAGATGTGTCCAGCACTTAGGAGGCTGAGGCGGGAGAACTGCGACTTCCATGCCTGGGATATGTCCTAGGAGACTATTTCAAAGGCAAAACAACATTTAAAAAAGAATTAAAATATGGAAAGCACTTTCTTCCTTTGGGATCTCACCTGGTCCATGCACTGGAAAAGATAGGACTCTGCTGCCAAAGCAGCTGCCTACATTAAAAATAAATAAATCAGGACTGGAGAGAGATGGCTGAGTGGTTAAGAGCATTAGCTGCTCTTCCAAAGGATCTAGGTTTGAGTCCCAGCAATACCCACATGAAGGCTCACAGCATCCGCAAGTCTAGTTCCAGGGATCCCAAGGCTTCTTGTATCTTCTGTGGGCAGCACTGCACACAAGTGATGGACAAATATATGCATAGGCAAAACACCCATACACGTAGAATAAAATATATAAGAATTTTTTTAAAAAAATCAGTTCGATTCCTTAAATAGAAGGTACCTGTTGCCAAACCTGAAGAATCAAGTACAGTGCTAATGCTCCACAGCACTAATCCTCAACAGTACTAATACTCAACAGCACTAATACTCAACAGCACTAATGCTCAACAGCACTAATGTTCCACAGTACTAATGCCTCACAGCACTAATGCTCAACAGTACTAATGCTCAACAGTACTAATGCTCAACAGTATTAATGCTCAACAGTACTAATGTTCCATAGTACTAATGCTCCACAGTGCTAATGCTCAACAGTACTAATACTCAACAGTACTAATGTTCCACAGTATTAATGCTCAACAGCGCTAATGCTTGGCAGTACTAATGCTCCACAGTGCTAATGCTCAACAGTACCAATGCTTGGCAGTACTAATACTCAACAGTACTAATGCTCAACAGTGCTAATGCTCAGCAGTACTAATGCTCAACAGTACTCCACTTCCCAAGGGCTGCAATTAAAGACATGAGATACCGGCAATCAAACTCGGGGACTCTGTATGCTACCTAAACACTCTACCATGTGAGCTACGTCCCCAGCCACTGTGAGTCTTCTCTACTCCCCAAACAAGAAACAAAGGATGTAATCACTGAGATCACAGAAAATACATACTACATAAAGGTTTATCAGGCGGAGCTGGCCTTTCACCTCACATTAACCCACACAGCTCAGGCTGTAGGCAATAGCCAATAAAATACCAAACCATATGTGTTCAATCTTTGAAAGCCTAGGACTTCCAGTAAATTCTTTTGATAACACTGGTCAATTGTCCACTTTCTTGGGGAATTCCAAACCTCTCCTCAATGAGCAGCAGGGACCACCTCCTATCACAGAAACCAAGCATGCCTGACGCTTCCATTCCCCAGGTTCTAGGAAGCTAGGGTTGAGGTGTGGCCTAAATTTGGGCAGCTAACTGCATTTGCTTAAACAAAACAAACAACAACAACAAAAACCAACAACAATGTTTAACTATCTAATTCTGACTGGCCTGAAACTTGCTATGTAGACCAGGCTGGCTTTGAATGCACAGAGAACTGTCTGCCTTTGCCTCTGAAGGGTTGAAAGTAAACCACCATGCCTGGGTTGGGGTAAGACCTGAGGTATTATAATCTGGCCCCACTTCCTGTCCACTCTCTACTTTGACTGAGGAATTAACCAGTTGCCTCATAATCCTGTGGCCATATCTTCCCAGCCGTGAGAGATTGTATCCTTTCTTAAACTGTAAGCCAAAATAAGCCCTCTCTCCCTTAAAAAAAAAAAATATAAAAAGGAAGGAGAAGAATAAAGAAAAAGAAGGGAGAAGAACAGGAAAGGAAAGGAGAGACTGAACCCACACCACATTGCCCAGTCTTTTTATCACGTGTTGATTCCACACACACAGACCACCACTGTTCAACATCAGGGTCGTGATCAGTCGTGATCTCTAGAGCTACCCTGCTGCAATGTTGTAACAGCTGCCAAAGGGCCTAAGAGATGGTTCTATTCCCAGCACCCATGTTTCTTATCTCCCTCCTCTGGCTGCCCAGACAGACGCAGACCCAACTTTGGGATTTCTAAATGGAAGCTGATCTTCTGGTCGTCACCCTGGGTCAGGGTTGAAAATTAGCAACACCACCATTGCTACCACAGGAACACCAAGTAGACATAAGTGCCCCCGCGAGAACAGGACTTGCCTCTCTCTCTCAGAACGGGATGGATCAAGCCAAGCTCACCTTCTCTTTGTTACCTAGCTCAGGGAAGTTGCTGGGCTAACGTCCTTTGAACAACTCTTCATTGGTGGAAGAAACCTTGGTCATCTGCTCATGTCGTTCCTTAACTGCAGCCACACGAGTAGGTTTCAAATAGCTGAATTGGTTTTCTCATGCAGCTGGTCCCACCCATTCGTCAGTACCAGGCGAGTCCCTCC